GACCTGAAAGATATTCTCCTAGAAAATCCAGACTGGAAGCTGTTCATGAATGGAAGCAGCTCTGTAGTTGGCTGAGAATGAAAAGCTCTGGTATGCAATTATAACCTGGTAAGAAACAGAATTAAGACTGTTGCCAGCCAGTATGCAGGCTCAGAAAGTTGAGCTAATCACTCTGACTCGGACATTAAGACTGTCAAATGCAAAGTGAGTTAACATTTGTCCTGAAATATGTCTCTGGAGTAATACATACTGTGTAGTGATTTGGAAATAAAGAGAATTACTATGATCTCAAGGAAATCCTATCAAATATAGCACTGAAATTATGAGATTGATTGACACAGCTAGTTAGAAATCTAAGAGAAGCAGCAGTAATTGCAAGGCATGCCAGACTGAACAGACTGGTGTTATCGAAGGGGACAGAGAGTACGTGAAGCCGTGAAGAAAATAGAGTTGTGAGTAAGTGTAGGAACCATGCTTGCTGAGAAGTTCTTGAATACTAGGACTCCTATTCATGTGAAAAGCAGGGTAAGTTAGCTCCTGGAATTAAACAGTTAAGGAACACGTAGGAGTACTATGTGGGTGGAAGCTGTAGTTAAGGAGCTGTACAGTTATTGATTGCTAAAAGTATGCTCCAGATGTGCAGGACTTGTCTTAAAAATAATGCTAAAATTCAGAGACCGAGGAGAGGTACTTGGCTACTTGGACAATATTGGCAATGAAACTGAAATTGGAATATTTTTTCCTGAATGATCTGAGTGTAATGGATATAAATAATTATTGCTATTGGTTGACACCTTTTCATGGCATGAGGCATGCCTGAGCTGAACCAAGAAAGCAAGAGAAGTAGTTAGCATTTTAGCAAAGGAAATAATTCCAAGATCTGGATTTCCAAGAGAACTCTTGTCAGATAGAGTACCTAATCGTAGAGCAAAAATAACTCAAGGAATATCTAGGTTCCTGAAAACGAAAAGGGACTTCACTTTGGGGGTGACTGGAATGGGCTGCCCAGAGAGGCTGTGGAATCTTCTTCTCTGGAGATACTCAGAACCCACCGGGACTCCTTCCTGTGTGATGTGCTGTGGGGAGCCTGCTTTAGCAGGGGGATGATCTCCAGAGGTCCCTTACAAACACTGCAGTTCTGTGATACTCTCATTTCTTTAAACCAGGAGATCAAGTGTATTTTCAAACTTGGCAAGAAAAACCTTTGAGAAGTGGAAAGGACAAATACTGCAGTAACAGGGATTAACTCTTGGGTTCATTACACCAGGACAAAGGCAGATCCAGCAGGAGGAGTGAAGAGCTGAAGTTGATTGCCTGAAGCTGAAAATGAAACAGAATACAAAGATGTAAGTGCAGTTCATGGACCTACCCACTAAGGATTGGAATTTTCTCAGGGAATATTACTCTTGCTTTTGTACATCTGATTTCACTTGTTCTGTAATCTTTTGCTTATCTGTGTCACTCTATCAAGGGAACTAGGTGGGAGTGATGCTCCTCAGTTGCCTTCGGATGGTAAAGAAAACTGAGGCAAGTGTATCAGAACCAGGAAACAAATGGAATTGGGATGTGTTTCATAAAATAATCCAAAACACAGTTCTGATTGCTGGGTTTGTGCTCATCTTCCAGATCACACTGAGCAGGCAGCTTCATTAGCTGTGTTACCCATCCCACCTAATGTGTCTTGGAGATACTTATCAGTTGGGAGGTTTTTTACAGTTAATAAAGAAAATTCATCCATTACAAAAAGAGTCTCAGGCAGGAATGATGGCCCTTTAAAATAGAGTGGCCTTAAAGATGTTTGCATCGAAAGGAGGGATTTTTACAGTGCTTAACGCTAACTGTTGCTTGTATGTCGACCAAAGTGGTAAAATTTCTGCAGATTTGGAAGGAATTTCGGAAGCAGACAAAAATATGGCATGAGGTTCAGAAAGACAGTACTTTTTTGGAGGAACAATCCAATGGCAGTCGATGGAACGGCACTTCCGTCGACCCAGCCTGATGCATTATTTCACAAAAGCAAGGTCAAATATCCCACTATTTCTGTGGTTTTGTTGCTCTCTTTTTTAATGTTTTATTAAAAATTGTATGTTTAAAAATATTTGTTAGTTATATACATTATGTACTTTCTTTGCAATTCTTTTCCACTCAATGCAACCCAAAATTTTGGACAAACATGAAGTAACCTTTATACAAGTTTTTGGATGTGTATCTTTTATCACAGAATGTATTTATATACATAAAAATATGTGTAAAAAGTGTAGCTTTGTAGGAGACTCCCTAGCACCCAAACTTGCACAGCTTTGCAGTAAGTCAGTATCTCGTCTCTGCATGTGAGGTTGGCCTAAATAACACTGGGTGACAAATATGCCTTTCAGACAACAATCTTGTCAGGATTCTTGAGGAGGTTGTTGTTCTAAAATGCCTTTTGAAGGCAAATTAAAACATGGGGGAGGGGAATAAAGGACAACATACTGCTGTTTTGCTACTTGCAGTTCCTGAGTATTTTTTTCCTCATTAATTTGTGTGTGTGAGTGAAAGTAGACTCTTCTTCGAAAGTAATCCCATCCAAAATCTCACTTAAAAAAAGGCATTGGTGTTTTTCACCACCTCATGGGAGAAATGTTCCATGGAAAGCATAGTGCCCAACAGTCCATCAAATGTTACTCACGTTCATCCTCATCTGTACCCACACCTTTATGGTGTTTTGTGTTAAAGCTTTCCTGTGCACTACCTTTTTCTTCTAATACTTCAAGTTAAGTGTGCACTGGCAGCCCGGAAGGCCAACTGTGTTCTGGGCTGCATTAAAAGAGGGGTGGCCAGCAGACAGAGGGAGGTGGTTGTCCCCCTCTGCTCGGCCCCTGTGAGCCCCATCTGCAGCACTGCGTCCAGTTGCTGTAGGGGTTCAGATACCACACCCATAAAACGCTTCAGGAAGAAACTATTCAGGTTAACAAAGTAAGTTTTCAACACTGGAACTTGGTCAAGATAAAACGCAACTGGATTAGTGCTCGAGTGCACACTCTACCATAAAAGTAGCATGGGCAAAACAGTATTTTAACACTGATAAAGAACACCATTATGCTGATCTCCCAGCGACTTTCAAACAGGATGCGAACATTAAGATGACTTGTGTGACTTCACTAAATAATTAGACTCAAAGTACTTTGTGGAGCATACAGCCATAGCTACAGTTCATCTGCTCAAACTCTCACATGACTGATGCTCATCGGTCAGCACACAACCCTGGGGTTTTGAGTTCCTTGTTGTCACCCAGCACAACTTTCCAGCTGCAGAGGAGTAATTCCAGGGCTCTGCCCATGCCAGGAAGCTGAACTTGCTGGGTTGCTTTATGACTCAGTTACAATCCCATCCCTCACGGTGAAATTCTTCAGAACTGTCATTATGCCCCATTAGTCTAATTAGGAATCATTTGCCAAGAACCACGTTGGGATGGAACCATCATGGGAGCGTCTGTTCCATCACACAGAAATTTAGAAAGAAAGTAAGTAGAAAACAAGTCTTGAGCTTTACATGCTTTTCAGAAGATAAACTTATTTGTAAGTAAACATGGAGATGTATAAGTAAGCAACAGGTGTGCAGCCACTTCCCATTGCACCTGAAAGGAACTCAGACAAAATTTGGAAGGTGAATCAGCAGGTGGAGGGACAAATCAAATATGAAGACTTGCTGTATGCGATTGTTCTGCTGAGTTGCAATGCTTTTATTGGCTCAGAACAGCAACAGAATCAGGGAGTCAAGGCTCAAAAAAAGCTTTAAAAACAAGGAGTATAGCAGGAGAATCTACTTCAGACTCCAGCATGCAGTTGCTTCCAAGCATTTCCAAGTCTTCTCAGCTCCTTTACTTCTCATCTCTGAAAATGAAATAAGGGACTCAAAACAACCTTTATAAACCACCACATTATAATTTTTTTTTTTTTTTTTAAAGTGGGAAAAGAGTTGTTAATGTTATGGTGATAGGAAAATCTCACATGGAAATGCAGGCAAAGCACTTCAAACAAAGTAGAATCAAAAGGTCCAAATCAAAGAGATGTTCTTATGTTTTAGACAACATAGTTGGACCGTGCAATAGTTGGACCTATTTCTTTGTCCTCCTCAAAAGTTCATTTTAAGAGAATTAGTTTAAACTTAAAATTGCAGCAATTCATCTAGGCTTCCTTATTCTGACACTTGAGAGGCAGGTGTGCAGAAAAATAACTTTGCTGCATCAGTGGTTACAGCTTAAGAAAAATGTACACTATCAGGCACATAATGGTCTGAAGTGCATCCCTTACTGTTTATCTACTGAAACATAGTTTTCTCCGTGTATGAAGCTTTTTACTGCTGAAGAGTAAAGACAACAGCAATGCCATGAGTCACACGTACGGGTAAATTGTGTGGCATAAGGGCCAAATTATGTTGTAGCTGTTCAGATGGCTACAAAAAGAGCTCAGCCTCCCTTTTTTTAATTACAAATCAAGAAGGCTTTTTTTTTTTTTTCTTTTCCTTTTTTTCTAGAAGGGAAGAGCAGGGTGGCACAGGGAGCGATTTCTTTTTAGCCAGATGAAACAGCTGCACTTGAAGGCAGGGCTTGCAGCAGGACTCGCTGCATTTGTTGCATTATATTACTGAGGGCCTGATGCAACTCAGCTTAAGGTAAGTTTTCTTTTTTTTGTGCAAATGATGCCCTTCTATTACCTCACTCTTCCTCTCATCTTGCTTGCCTGTAAGGTTCCCACAACTTAAATGATTTCTGCGTAAGAAGCAGAAATCCCCGCATAACCAACAAAGGAGGGACTGTTACTGACCCATTAGGAAGCAGTTATTCCTGCTATTAAGAAAGCCTGCTCTGCACCACCTCTTCTCAGTTCTCAGCAATTCTTCGTATTTTAGAAGAAGTACAAATTGGTTGTATTTCTGGCATTCCTCAGCCCTGGATCTCCATTCTCCCCACACACGCTTTCCTGATGTTATTTCTGTACAAATGAACACAGAAGCTTAAATACAACTTTGGAAGTCCTCTATATTAAAACTATACTGTACAGGAGTATCGTCTAACATGCTTCTGATATGCTAGTACAGAATGAGGTTTTTCACACATCAACAGCTCATGTGGCATTCCAGTTTTCACTTCAGCAACCTCAGTAACACAAGCAAGCTGCTTTCTGTTAAATGTTTTACATTACTACACTGTAGTACGGCATACAACTTCATATATAATCCAAAGGTTGGTTACAGCGTAAAATATTTAAGTAAGTTTCCTTTAAAGCACTGAAAGTTAGAAATAACTACAAACCAGGGGTTTTCTTCATAATTTTTAATACTTTTCACTTTAAATACTGGTTTTAAATTTGTGATTGTAACATAGAAGAGCCAACTTTTAATTTTTAAAACTTATCATTAGGATCATAAAGCTATTATATAACAGTTACACTCTACACACTCAAGGTACTCAAAAATATGATTCATGTTCTGAGTCTGTAGATGAACAGTGGCAATTCAAATACAGCGTTATCTGTACAACGTGACAAAAATACAGGTGGACAATCTGATTAGTTTAAAGAGAATCTGCACAACTTCAGATAAGCCAGCTCAGCCCAACTAAATAAAGGTAATTTCCCCTCAGCCCCTAAAATGCACCGTACTTCTCACACCTAAGTTGCTCACAGTAAGTTGTTCAGTTTCCCAGACAGGCTAGCAATGACTACTGCTCATCCTCGCTCCCATGAGAAGTTCTGTCAAGCTATTTCCTTAGACTGCCATATCCCCAGCCCTTCACGTGGGCTCAAGTTACAGAGACATCTATCCCAGAGCAAAGGGCTTCTGCGATTCTGCAAAGAAAATCACAGCAGTATTCTACAGATCCATTACCAGGATGAAAAGAACAGAGTGCTCCTAATTGTGGCAGTGTCTGGATAAGGGGTTCAGCTCTGGAGAAATTTTGTAAAACCATAACAGGAAGATCCCTCCTGGAAGAAAGGCTCTGATGGCCACTTGCACACAGGCAATCCAACAGGCCTAAAGAAAGCTGCTTTTTTTCTGATGTCTTTTAATCCTATCTTTCAATCTTGCAACTCCTCCCACAATTTTAGGAAGCCTCTTTCAACACTGATTGGGCAGGGCTAACTGCAGTGAAGTACCAGTGCCTTTATCTAAAAGTAAAGTGTATTCTTTACAAAGAGTATCTGTAGTGTGATTTTATTTACAGAATAGATCACAAAAGTACATCACATTTAGTGCAAATGCAACTAATGATAAAAGATTTATATACTGCTTTGTAAACTTTCCATTCCTTTGTAAAATAAAGCTATCCAATTAAATTAAGAAACAGTTACTCACCTGTGTTTAACAACTACTATCAGAAATGGCAAATAAGGAATTACACTCTTTTGGACATTTTTTTTTTTCTCTTTTGAAGTTCCCATCAGCAGCTATGGTGAATGAATCATTGTTTGTTGATTGTAAAAAGATGAAGTACAGTTGAGGTATAAGAATTATTTTTTAACATCACTATATAAAATGCTCACTGGTGATATAGTAAACATGTATAAATTTTTGTCTCGTTTGCCTTACTAGCATTACCATATAGGCACTTTTCTACGTATTCAAATTAACAGAATAGTTCTGTAATAAGGCATATTCCATGCACACTTTCAGAGAAAGGCAAATAAAAAAGGTACAGTTATGGAGCATGAAATCCGCGTGCATGTGTAATCACGTGCTATGTGTGGTTTTATCTCAACAGAGAAAATGAACAGGTAAAAGAACATGTTTTTTTTCTAACACTGTGAATATCCCCTTTATCATTCACCAGATCTTTATTAAGTTACTCTCTTATATAGTTATTTTCAGGCACCTACTATACTCTATCAAATACAACTTTCTCCTTTCTTTTGAGAAAAATAGATATCTGAAACTCTTTTTTCTTGAGATATACAGGTCAGTGAAACACCCAGCAGAGCCTCTGCATATTTTCCAGCTACAGGACGTGGATTAAATAACTCAAAGTGAGTACCAGTCTGTGAGAGTTGTCTCCCAATGAGCATCCCCAGAATCTAAGGCAGGCAAGTATCTGACATTTAAATTTTCACAGCAACTAAAGGGAACTTTCCAAGAAGATCAATGCATTGTCATAGTTCTGACAGGTTTTTGATCAAGTGGCAGGTATCAATGCAACTAGTTTTCTACATGAACCTCATAGCATGGCTTTATTAAGATGAGGAAAACACATGCAGGATTTGAAAGTAATGTACTCATCCTCATTCTAGATCAGGAATGTTGTCCTACTTAGTCCAAATTACTTCAATAAATACTATAGTGTACCTTCTCAAAGCCTCAGAAAAGCCCTCTAGAGATCATGCAGGAAAGCAGACCACATCTAGCATGGACAGATGACTTTTAGCTATCAGACAGTCTCTTGCCCTTCCATATAGACTCTTTCCAGAAATTTCTGGGTCATGTTTAATAACAAAAATTCTGTAGCACATTACATAACTAAAAAATACAATAGAAATATAAAGATATCTGGAAAAAAATAAAGCTTTTCACACTCTTACTCCTTCAGAAATAAAGATCTTCATAAGAGTAAGACAATAGAAAAGGCAAAGTCATAAGGATATTGACAGCCCTCAGTTATTAACTGACATTTTATGTAACAAGATGATTCATTATAGAAACCAGCAGCAATGAACTATGATTATACAAAGCAAAACAAGACCTGCCAGTAAGTCACTAGGCTTTACTGAACTCCTCCTTTCATCCTTCCTCAAAACACCACCGATTTTTGTGCATATAAAGCACATACAGTATGCTATATGTGCATTTGTCTTTTGTGCTTTTTAGACATGCACAAAAACTATGCTGTTATCTGAGGAAGGCTGACAGTGAAATTCTGCAAGTTGCTTAAAATTACAGCAGCAACCCACGTTGGTGATTCAAAGTTGTACGTTCTTCCTCTTCTAAAGTAAGCAAATAAAAATAGAGCCATATACATGTTATCAATACATGTATTTATAATTACACACTGATTCAGCAAGAGAAGTTAGCAGGAGAGAGAGCTAGTGTTAAATATTCAACCTCACGGTGTTGCAACACTTCTTCACTTCAGTATACAAAGCCTAGAATTTGGGCTGTAAGAAGACTGTAGATCCTTCGTTCCAGCATGGAGTGCTCTATGTATGGTCACTTCTCCAACGTGGAATGCTCACCCAGTCTTGTTCTGATCACTGGAGACAAGCAAAGATAAAATACACCAATGTATAAACACTAATGAGAAAACCAGAAATTGTTAAACTCCACAAACTACATTACTGCTATGCTCACATTGGAACTATTGGTTCATTGGTTCGTGACACGTTTTTGACACATCAGGTTCACCTACACTACCACTCTAACAACACACAATTAAATATGTGAATCAGATTTTACAGGACTGCCTTTTAACAGAAGGATCAGATGACTTGAAGTCTGACATAACAAATAGAATTTAACAGTAGATGAGGCCTGTGTTGTGCACAGAACTCACTTTCAGATCTTGCTCTAAACTAGAGCTCTCAAATAGTGCTGTGTTGTTGGAATTCGATGGCTTACAGTCTGCACACAAAGGAAAATTAAGCAAAGCCTTACTTTGTACAAAAGCTTATGACAGATTATGTGATTGGCAAATACTGTGGACATATTAATACTAAATGTTGTATTCATGCTAACTATGATGAAACATTTCTAGATTGCATACTTCAGTTTGGCCTTAAACATTTACAACAACGAATTAAGAAATTAAAAATGAGTCTGTACCTGCTAATACTAGAATAAAATAGATTTTCCAGCTGTTTTCTCTTGCACATATGATGTAAAACGCTTCAGGAATTTGGGATATTCTCGTTTTGCCACTGCCCGTAACACGGATGCTGGTGCCCACCCTCCTGGGTTGACTAGGAGAAGACAGGAAGAAAGACACTGAAATACACAAAATCCTCTAAAAGCTGCATATAAGAATGTAAGTTTGTATTCCTGCAACTTTTTCCAAAGAAACAACAATGAATAATCAGAACTTTTTTTAGGCCAGTATGTGCTGTAGTGTTTCCAGCTCTTGACGTTCATGTTCAGTTCATGTCTATGATGCCATTATTTAGAAAATAATGAAATAAGGTGTGAATCTTTAAGTACTGCCTAAATGGAAGGTAATATTCTTTAAAAATAAATAAATAAATAATAAAAAAGGGAAGAATCAAATTCTTATTTCAAAGAAAACAGGAATCAGTCTTTCCAGTTACTGCTGAATTTGTCTGTAGAATTGCTAGATGATCAATGTCTTAGAAATGATTTTTGAAGGACTTTAAAATATGCTTCAATTTTGCTGCACAAGTTGGCACTTACCATACAATGAGAGTTCAGCATTTGTCATGGAAGTATTTACAAGTAATTAGGAAACTTCTGAATAGGAAAAAAAACACCTTCCCCCAGAGGTTAGTATTATATCACATGATTTGTACAGGATTTACTACAAGCTGTATCAGTCCTACATTGCAAATATTTACTGAACTCATTTTGTAGACTTTTTTAGTAAGTCATATAATAGATGGTTAAGAATAATGAGCAGGTGAGCTGCTCTTGAAGTGCTTTGTAGCTGCAGGAGATGATCTAATAGGTATGTGGGTCCAGTACTGTAAAACACTGCTAAATACTGGGTACAATAACAATACAGTTTGGCTTTGATAAATTTACAATCTACACAAGGGACTTCATCAGTTAAAAAACAAAAAAAAATATGTAACTCAATTATACATCTTGCAAACATCCTCATTAAAAATGTACTTGTATCTTCATAAATACCAAGATTTTTAGCCTGACAAGATGAATGAGGGAAAAAAAACAATGACAGCAAAACACAAATTAAAAAAAATTACTGAAACTAAAAGCCAAACCATCCAAGTTACAGATATTGTCCTGCAGATGACCTCCCCTTCCATGACTGCTACATCTTTTTGAACACAAAGACCACAAACATTGTTCTGTGTTTAACAGAAAGCTGCATTGACTTTTCTTGCTAGCACTCAGTTCACCAGAATTAGCATACACCTCAAATGTCACGCAAAAAAAAATACACAGAAAAGATAAGGACTTACCATTAGCTACATAAGTAATCTTGCATAGAATATTATCTCTGCTTATTTCTTTGTTCCCCTCTGGTGGGCTTACTAATGTCTGACATATCATAGCAATATTTATTTTGGCACGGACACAGCGATTGTTCAGCTGCCAGAGAAAAATGAAGAAACATTTGTAAGCCTCCAAGTTGCCTTATTTCTTCCTATTTGATTGCTAACATTTTCTTTTACTATAAAGCTTAAGACAAAGCCTGTTTTTTGAGGAATGTGC